GTCTTTTTTTGCTGCTGACTGTCAATTACACTTAACCCAACTTTTTTTTATACAAATGGTAGTAATGCACTAAATAATTTTTATTTAATTAAATAATGCACCAAAGAACACAGAATAATTGCAAATTCATCCAAGCTAGTCGTTATCTTTCCCATGGGAACAAAGTTTGTACTAACAGTGAAAATGACAATTCTCTGTTCAGAAAAAAATGTTATATATATGTCATTTGATAGATGAAAAGAGAGAACTATTAACAATTCCTGAAAGAGAGGATGTGACAGGTGGGTGTGGCAAGAGGGGTCTGATTTTCTATTTGATAGCTCTGTAACCAAAGAAGATTGAAGGCTATAAAAATTATGGTTTGTCTGAGCAATGACGATTTTAAAGTGAGTAATTTACATTACATTTCATACTTGTTGGAGGGGTGGTGAATAAGATACAGAAGAGGGGATGCCTATAGAAAATATGTTACATTTCTCACACTAGGGGAAATTCAGGATTTTTGTTACTATTGCCTTATAAAACTTATTTACTATTAAAATATGGATTATTAACTATTATTTTATGTTATACTAATTAGTATAACATAAACAAAAAGTTGATTAAATAAATTTTGAATGCAAGTCACTAAAACCTCGTGACATGCGCAGTAAAGGATGCCCATGGCGATAGGGTTAAAAGTATATAATTAGAAGCTTGTGGGATATTTTGTACATACAAGAAATTATTATATGATACTGATCCTATGATTTGGGCACTGATTCAACTATATGGTAAAGACCTTCTTCCACTGACATTACTGATTCCAAAACTCACTGATTTTTTTTTTTTAACAGTGAATATTTCATATATATACACGTTTTCAACCTCAATCTCCTACCAGTGAAGGACACTATTAATAGTAAATACTTAGAAGCCATAATTAACAACATAGATTTCATCCTTAACTGGTGCCACAATAACAATGTTATAAACTGATTATTCAATTTCTGTAGTGCACATTGGTGTATAAGACATTTTAATACTAGAAATAAATATTTTAAAATACCAAAATTTATTTTTCTTAAGTCGAACACTCAGCTTTCTTTTTTATGAAGCTTTACAATGTCAGTTATGCTTTGTGTTTTAGTAGAATGTTCCTGAAGAAGCTGTAAAGCAAAACATTGAGTATCCGATTGAAGAATAATAAACTTTGGTGTTTTAAGGTCATTTGTTTACTATTAAAACGTTTTAAGTTAACCTAGCTAGCAATAGTAGTACGCGTGTGATAATACATAACAATAAGACTGAGAGTCGTATACATATCAACATGCTTACTGATTCAGAAACAAGTAACATAAGTTTGTCCTATGAACAATGGTATGGAGCTATACAACTGATTTGTACTGATGCATGTGAAGAAAAGGGTGAAGTTCAAATGTTAGTATATACTTTTCTTACTGGAAACTTGTACACAGTCAGTAACATATGATTATTATCAATCTCATCATGACTTAATGGCACACACATCTATTACTACTACATGTTAGGCTTTCCCAGCTAAGAAGTTCTTATTGTTTCATAAACAACTCATAAAAACAGCATTTCAGCTACAACTGTTATGATAACCTAGCTGGCCTACTGAACTCTGGAGATGAGCAAAAGTCCCCAGCAGCTGAAACGTACAAGATTTAGCTGAAATGCTATTGTACGTTGTTCTTACTGGAAAGATTTAAATGTTCAATAACATTTAATATAAGTTTGTATCAATTATTAAAAAGTCTTATTGTGCTGTAATACAAAAGGTTGCTTAACCCCTTCTGTATCAGGATTGTTTTAGAAAAAAAAAATCAGTCTTTTTTATTTTGCTTTAGGATAGCCTATTCTTATATATTAACGAAGCAAAAGTTCTTTTACCATCTGTTATTATACTTCTGCACAAAATATACTCAATAAATAAATACTACATATCTGGATTTATAAGTGATATAAATTATTTCCATAAAACTACAATAAAGAATAGGAATCCTTTTCTTCAGTGTTTATAATACATAATTCAGAATAAATTCAATAAGGATTGGCACAAACAGCATTTCCAATGCCATCTAGTGAGCACTGATTGTAATCATGATAACATGTGAATAAATTCAGGCAAATAATTAAAAATATGATGAGAAATGGTTTGCCTGAACTAACTTAACAAATATTTTTTGAAATATGGAGTTAAGGATTTTTAATTATTTTTTTTCTCTGTCATGAAAAAATTAATCTCTCAAGGAGACAAGCTCTATAACAAATCAGCTTAAATAGGGTGGTGCTAAGCAGAGACTTACTGTATTTTGAAACATGAGAAACTAAAAATCTTTTACAAAGTGAAAGATTATTTAGTTTTTTTATGTTTCAAAATTAACTTCAATAATATTAAGCTATTAAATTAAAAAAAAACTAATTTATTTCTGAAATTTTTCTTAAAACTTCAGTGTTGATACTTTGAAGTTAAGAGTTTCAACTGATGCTGTATGTATGCTTAATTTCTATAGATTATGTAGTACAATGAATTGCAACAAATAACTATCATATCCAAATAATAGAGATCATGGTATGAAATCAATTAACAATCAACTTACCATGTCTCCTACTCTGCAAGCAACATGCTTAACCATTCCAGGCATAGGTGCAATTACTACTTTGGCCACATTCATCTGAAAAAGGTAGATTTGTAATAAGAAAACCTTCTGCTCATCTACCACAATGCAAGTGTAACAGACAATAACTTTGACACTTAATATATTAAATTAGTTGTAAAATTTAAAGGATATTTTTTACAAAGGAAAAATATCAGTTAAAAAATAAAACATTTTGTGTTCTTCTACAATACCCAAACAAGTAAATAAATAAATAAATAAATAAATAAATAAATATATATATATATATATATATATATATA